CCATGGCTCCTGACCCCAGGATTGAGGGCCGCACCCCTGCGTGTGTGCATCAGGATCAGGGCCTGGGCTCTGGCATCAGATCCAGGCGCCTCAGGTAATGTGGCTTCACAATCCGGCGTCACCACCTAACGCGGCGTCACCCTAATGCAGCGTCAGTAATTCGGCGTCAACGCCTAATGTGACGTCAGCGATTCGGCGTCACCACTCAATGCGGCTTCACAAATAATTCTCGTCGTCACAACCCAATGCGGCGTCAGGAAACAATGCGTCGCGACGCAATTCGGCGTCAGCGGACAATTCGGCGTCAGACAATGTGGCACAATTCGCCATTACCTAAAATGCAATGCGGCTTCAGGACTTCGGATTCGGCGTCGGGTCGTTGGCCACACCCACCCCAGGCGGCCGCCCTATATGTATATGTATATGTACATATATGGAAGGTTGAAGCTTCAGGTTTTTTTGGAAAGACACAAGTTTCAATCGGACATGACAGCTTCTTATCTACGACGCAGTCATCAGGAGCCGCTTGCTTCATGGGTTTGAAACAGTTCATTTGACAAAAACGCGAGCACGAAGGCTGAATCACCGCAGAGGCTTGCGTAAGATATTGAACTTTGATTCTACATATGTCAGCCCGGCAAACACAAATGTCGAGCCGTTCGAACTTGCAACACGAGCAGCTCGAAGACAAGTCATACTTTTTGACCTGTGATGCCAGAAGGGTTAGGCTAGCCGGTCATATTCTGAGATCTTCTAATTCAGATCCATTTAGACAGGTAATCAGTAGCTACAAGCCGGACTCAGCTGAGCCCTTCGAGGTCGGTCGCAGCAGAAGGATAGGGCGACTTAGACAACAATGGCTATCCGAAGTTAATTTTAACGCTACGCCACCCGCCTCGGCTTGCCGGAGACCAGCACTGCGACAGAACTCAGGAGGCTAGGAAGGCCGAAAAGCAGCGGGACAAGGAGGGCCATGGGGGGAGGACGGAAAAAGCAGGTACAATGAAGGGGAGCCGGGCAAGGGAGTGGTAAACGAACGCGGGCGGGGTACCTGAACTAAACCCTAATACGATAGGGCCTGTGGCCTCGGCGGATTCGTTGGCTTTTGCGACATATTCGATCTACCCATATGATCCCATATGATGGGTCTAATCATCAAAATGCAGTCATGTTTCAAAAAGCTCAGATTTGACAGCTGCTGTAGGGTCTCCCATCCCAGTTCCATCTGTTACCAAGCAGAATGCGCATGGCGTGCGAAAAAGACACATATTGACATTATTTATGTATGTGTACGTATGTTTACGTAGGGCTCAGAGCACCCCACCGTGGGATAGCTGAACGCCCCAGACACCCAATCGTGGTGTCGTTGTTTTCGCTGTTACGGCAGCTGATAGCCCCTCGCACCGCCATCGTCGCCTTCAGCGCTCAAGAGTGCGCAAACGGCTCCGTGAGGGAGCCCCCGTGAGTGCTGCTGCACTCTGGAAACTGGTCGGCCACCACGGGACTGGACCGAACCATCGACAGCAATTGCTTTCCCGCATGGGCAAAGGGGCGATCAACGTGGATGGCGAAACCACAATGGCAAGGACTACTCTGCCTACTGGCGTGGTGCCTGGTCTCCTGGTCTCCTCATCGCAAGGAGAACCCGAAAGGACCCCGGAAGGGCAAGGGGGAGGGCAAGGACCAAGTTCCCGCGCTACGATGCAAGAAAGATCGAGAAAGTGGAGGAGGCCTCTGGAACGGAAGCGCCTGCGAGAGTACCTGCAGATGGTGGCCGGTGAGTGTCTTTCAGGCACAAATCAATGCAGCGAGGAAGGCCGAGGCCAGAGTACAGCAGCTTACGGAGCTGCGAGAGCAGCGCGTAGCGCAATGGCAACGCTACGATCGAAGCAGACCTCCAGAAGTCCTACCAGCAAGAGAAAGAGCGCTACGGTCGAGCCCTTCAAAGGCTCTCGGACCACCTCCACGAAGCAAAGACGAGTCAAGCGAAGACCTCGGAGGTATTGCAGCAAGCTTATGCTGCTGCGGTGAGCTCTGGCACTTGGGTTTTGGCCAGCTGAGTTGTCACTGATTTCTGCAGACAGCCCCATCCCTATATGTTGGAAGGTACTTTCCAGATAGGCTGTTCTGCATGCCCTCTCAACAGCAGTTTTGGTTGGAGACAATGCGCCTTGGATTTTGTGGCTGCGCTCCAGTTCCTGCTTCGTTCTTGCCTTGTTGGCACAGGAGGCCGTTCACAGCAGTGCGCAGGGCCAGTAATTACTGGTACCATCCTTTGCCCTCGCTTTGCAAATGTCAAGTTTCCTCGAGCACCTGAGAGACGTATCGGTGGTTCGGGGGCGTCCGCCGAGGAACTTGTCATAGAGCACACCCATGTAACTCCCATCCAATTTAGTCCTCCTTCCCCTCGTTTTTCTAGTCGCCCTCCTCTTCCCAACGACTGCGGGATCGAGCTTCTCCTTGCAATCGGCTCTTTCCTTGTCCCTCTTTGCAGAGCCATTCTTGTCCTGCTTTCACTCGCACTTTACAAGTGCCTTTGGAGACAGATCCCAGATCGCCACGAGCCGCTTGGACGTCTGCTGGGCCTTCCGAGCAAAGGGTCGTCTACGCAGCCACTTCTGTGCCTTCGTGACTTTTCTCCACTGCAGGCGGTTCACCTACACTGCAGGACGGGAACCCTCGGCGACGAATCTACCAAGATAGCATGGGATGGAGACAGCATCAGTATGGACACAGAGTTATCCTTTGGTGCCTTCTCCTGCTGCATTGCCCCATCTGTGTATGGGCGGCCCCCACACGGCTGCCATCTCTGCAAGCCGCCGAGCAAGCTGTCGGTTCACATCGGGATGCTGTCCTGTATAGACATATGCCATCACTCAGCCCGGACTCCTTGCCGGTCGCACAGTATTCCCCAGTGCCTACAGCTGCTCCCACGACGGGCACTGGCGCTCCTACTGAAACTCCTGCGTTTCTGCAAGCTCCTAGTGGCCAACAGGATGCATTTCTCCTGCTCACCATCCGAGGTGACACACCCTGATAAGGAGACTTTTGGAAATGATGGGAGTGATGGCACAACGGCCCCCGCCGTCCTAGGTACCAGGTTCTTCACTGTCCTTTGCCCCTACCACCAGACAGAGCTGGTACAAATTGTGCTACGCATTCCTGGCGCCTCTGTTGAAGAGGCCCTAAGTGCAGTACTCGAGGGCTTGTCATACCTCAACCTCGAATATGCAAAGTCTCTGAGCCCTACGGTACCTCAACTCGACCCTGGCTTGGCCTCACTTGTGCTCGGAGGCTCGTGTCATGCGGCCTATGGTGACGCCATTGTTAGACTTTAGGGCAGTAGACGGGCCGTGCTATGCGAAGCACTTCTTTCAGGAGGCCGGGTACAGCGACCTGCAGGATGAGGCCCGCCTTCACGGGGTTGCAAGGGGGTGCTCGCTTTCAATGTGTGCAGGGAGGCGTCGTGCAATTCCGCCCGAGGGGCTCTTGCCCTGTCTGGCATGACGATTTTGCGTCTCGTCTACAAAGTGCTAGAGCATGGTCTGGACCCACTTTTGAGGCAGCGCCAGCAGGACTTCAGTGGCTTGCACGAGGCGATGTCGCCATGGACCAGCGCTGCTGGATCGTTCAGGCCGAGGATCCTCCTGACAATTCTGTTGCAGCGCTCTTGCAGCGTCCTGCTACCTCATTGACATTTGCGCGCCCAACGCAAGGTGCTTTCCGCTCCGTTTGCTATCAGGGGAAGGTATGCTATGATGTTGTTGCGGTACATCATGCTCCCCCTCCACGCGGAGACAGCTCACCCGGCTACTTCCTTTTCCTAGATGGGCGTCAGGTTGGTAGGGAGCCTTCCTTTGTTTGGCTTTTTGAGCCAGTTGTCAGCATAGGGTATCTTGCGAGATTCATTGGCGTACACCGTCTTCCGCAGGGGTACCAGGTACCACCTGTCAATTGCCTGTGCGACTGTTGACATCAGGGAAAACCACATTCGAGCTCAGACCGGCGACACCGTTGTTTTTGGTTTTCGAAGTGAGGAGGAGTCAGACCAGAGTGCGCCACTGGGGCACCATTCCTCAGAAGATGAGTCGATGAGTCTGCAGATACCGAAGCCTCTACACTGTACACAACCCCCCCACGTGGTTCCGGCCCTGACACTCCACCATCTACGTCTGGCTCCACCTCCCTGTCGCGGCAGCACTCCTCACGAAGCCGCTCCCTCAGGTTGGAAGTGATACATGCCGATTGTCTTCCCTCCCGCCTGAGAGAATAGAATAGATGCGACCATATGTCCAGCAACTGGAGTAGGCCCAGCCCCACAGTCTGCCTGTCCTGAGAATTCCAATGAGGTTAAAGGCACCCTGAAACAGCGACTTGTCAACGAGGCGGGAGGCGTGCAGAGCTTTCCTGATGTTCATGAGGATCTGCATGATGAGGCCGATCTCAATGTGCCTCGCTTCCAAGTCCCTGCGCCTGCTCACCAAGGGGACTTTATTGAGGAAGGTAGTGAGAGCGAAGACGGCCCACCGGTTGCTCACTTTCTTGTGCTCATCCCGAACTGTCTTCCGGAACAGGTTGCCATATATCTCGAAGAGGACATCACCCTACAAGATGTCCTCGACCTTGCTTCTTATGAGTTGGATGAGCAGCGCTTCCTCCTTTACCCCATGCTTTTGCCTTTGTTCCACAGCCGGATTACCGCTGGGGTACCCTGCTTGCGTTGCCCCCTATGGGCTACTGACGTTGCCGTGGCCTGTTTGGACACCAGAGAGGTTGATGGCAGGCTTTTTGCGACTGAGGTCCCTTGGCAAGCCGGTCCTTCGCATCTCTGCAGAGCGGCAGGACTTGACGATACTGGCACCTTTTTCGTCTTTGCATATGGGCGCACAGTGCCATTAGGACCTAATGAGGTAATACATTATGTCCTTGGCGGATCTGTTGTCTTCTCACGGGCCCCAGACGACTTCTCCAGACACTCGAACACATGATCTCCTCCCCTCATGTCTGGGACGCAGACCCAGAACTTCCGTTTGGGCCTGCGGGCCACCATCATTGCTGTGTCACAGGCAGTCAGCGCCTTGTCAGCCACGATCACCGTCAGCACCGAGACCTGTCCACTGCTATTGCTTCTGCCTTGCAATTCGAGCATGATGGCCTCCGGGTCTATGCCGCCGAACCCCCTAGCTGTCACTGACGCAGCAACTTGTGGACACCACTGCCTCAAAGTTCATGCCGTTATTCCGAATGAGACATGGCCGGAACAGGAAGCACCTGTCTTTGGCCTCCTAGACTGCCGGCCACTCCTACAAGGTTGGTCCCTGATTGAGGCCCCCCATGGCAGAGCCTCTTACTCAGACCTTGTCACAGTCCTCGACACTTTCGCACCACCAGGACTTCGCAAGTGGATCCTGCTAGCCCGAACGCAGAGGGCCTTTTACCTGTGCATGAAGGTCAGGTCTTTGTTGCCTCCTATGCCCCGCTTTCTGATGGAGAAGAGACTCCGTCCCATGTCCTTTCTGCGCATGTGCAGGATACTGGTGTCGACCCTGCCGATCCTGACAGGATACAGAACCAAAATGATGTGGCCGGCCATTCTGTTCCTCGCTCGAGTACGACTGCACCGAGGTCTCGTAGCCGATCTCCGCCTGGATCCCCAGCAGACTGCCACTGTGTTGCTACCTTTGGTGATTGGAGTGTCCTCCTTTTGTCCACTTTCAGTCGAGTAGTCAAACGCACCTTCAGTTCTTGCATTGGTTGTTTGCCGTGCTCCTGTTGGTCCGTCCCTGTCCTCCTAAGTGGGCAACTGCACCGTATGGCACAGACAGTTCTTGATGCCTTCCTTGAGATGTGTTCCAGTGGACGGATTGATTGCCCTAGCCGGTTTGCCGCACGCAATTGTAACCTTGGCAGGCACAGCACTTGTTGCTCTCCCCACCAATGGCGCGAAACACCCCCGCACATCCATGGTGGTGCTGGTGGTGTCGCTCGGTGGGAGTACAATGCTCCACCTGCTTTCGGACCCCAAGGCCCTACCAATCTCCTAGAAGGCGACACAGCTGCTGCGCAAGACCCAGACATCTGTCATGTGCCCTTCTATATTGCCGTGCCGGGTTACCAGTTGAGTCATGTCATTGCTGACCTACCTCTTCCGGCCATTCCGGCCGAAGCACTTGCTGCTGTGCGAGAAGTGCGGCCCCAATCCGACCGTCGCCGCTTTCCCATTCTGACCGCGGTACGGCCACAAACGGTACCCGGCGCAGGCATCCTGATTGCAGGTCCTATGTGGGATGAGGAAACGCCCACCATCTGCATTGACACATCGGCGTTGGATGGCCGCTACTTTGCTACCAAAACAAGAACCTATGCCGATCGGTATACACTTCTCATGCTTGCTGACCTCCCGCTCCAGACTGCAGTTGATGTATATGTCGGAACGTCCGACTCCCCATTTTCGGACGGCGGTGAGCAGCATCTCATGCACGGAGAGGTCATATCATTTGTCAGGCAGGGATCCCGCGTGCCACCTTGGCTTTCCTTTGGGGAGATTCTAGGCAGTGCTAGATTTTGGACGGTCGAGGTATACACTCCTCCCGTTGCCAGGGACGGCAACTACTGTTTGGTTCATGATAGCCAAGGTATTCTTCATCTGCCCGGGGATAACCCCCGCACACAATACCGGCGCCACATTGCTGCCTGTCTGGGTACCAACGAAAGCAGACTCAGACTCTTTCCTGCCTCGCCTGAAGTAAGCGATGCTTTTGTTGCTGGTTGCCCAGTCCGCGCGGTCATCGCAATCGCCGAGCCCGGAGGAGAATTTACTCGCTCCTCCTTCTGCGTCCTGCTAGACAGCCGGCCAATTAGCCATGCATGGCATGAGCTGCATGTTCATGATGGCTTTCTTGACTGCGACAGGTGCGCTCCGCCCGGATGGCGCGCCATCATCGTTGCGTACCCAGCTCTGAGCGCAGACTCAGTGTCACAGCCGGACGAGTCCTTGTTGCAGAGTTTGTCCCTGCTGGCGGAGGCCGTCGACCGCCCCCGCAAACCGTTGCTGCACCAGCATCCTCTGCTCCCGCCTTCCACATGACCAGCCTGTCGAATCAGGCCGCAATGCCCCACTCGATGGGGATGCCACAGGCGACCAGCGAGGTTCACCTGCCACGGACACACATCCTTCCACCGCTGTCCTGGAGGAAGATGCCTTCGCAGCATGCATTTTTCTCATTCTCGGGCAAAACTATTGCTCAGAGGTTGTTCAAGTTCGTCTTCCCGTCGGGTGCAGCGTCACTGATGCTCTCATCGCAGTCAGTGCAGCCCGCTCGCCCGAGCTTAGATGTTACTTGCCGCGATTTTGTGTTGCCCATCCACAATCTCTACCTGGCGTAGCCCTCCTTAAGTCGCCGTACCACTTTGGCAGACCGACGGAGTTGCGGCAGTGTTAGACGCCACTAGAATCAACGGCCAGGTCTATGCCATGCTGCTGCCACGCACTTTGGGCGCTCCAGGTGCCTTCACTGCTGCTCGACTTTCCGACGAGGACGGCCATGAACTCTATCTACGTGACATACCATGGCCCATCCCACCCACCATGCAATTCGACGTTGCTGAAGGGGATGTACTTCTGTTCGTGCCCAATGGCCCAATGGGGCCGGCTCATTTGCTACTACCGACCTTGCGTCGATGTTGCAAGATTCGTCCTGCTGGAATTGTGACTGGACACCTGATGTGTCCTACAGTGAACGTGCCTGGATTATTTCCGAAACATCCGACTTCCTCATTTGTCGCAGGACCATCGCCAGCACCGCTATGGGGCAGACCAGGGGGGGGGTGGAAGGCTCTGCTACATCCCTTCCGTGGGGAGGGTACACCTCGCTACCCGATGCTCCAGATGTGATAAGGGTGCTTGTCAATCCTGCCGGTCATCTTTGACCATCTCCAAGCTTGCTTGGCCTTGGCTTGCCTCGGCTGCTGCCTTTTCTGAGGGGATTCTCAGAACGGTCTTTGCGGGCACTGTCACCTGTGCCACAGTCCTTTCCCCTGCTGTTACGTTGTTGTGTGCAGGCCTCTCTGCCCTGGTAATCATGTTGCACAGGTGGCCCCCACTTGCCGCATGGATATGTGCTTCTCTGCCTGCAGGGTGTTGATGCTGTCCAATTGCACAGCTGCAGCCTCTGCCCTCACACCTCTGATGGGGGTGTTTCCAATGCTGAGGTTTATGGCCAGAGACCACTTCCTACTCCCTGCCGTGCCACCCGTTGGCTCCCCCCGCAGGAGTGGGCCGTCACTGGCCGTCACCTCCGAGATACCGGGTCCTGGAGCCGAGGCCGATGCCTTCGTCTCTACACACGTTGAGCAAGAAATCCGTGATCTTCGAACTTTGCTTGACCACAGTCGTTGCGATAGCCACGACTTCCCACTTTTTTCTCGCCTGGACCCTTCTGGATTCCCTTGCCGAGCATGAGATCACGGCCAACAATACAGCAGCAATCCAGATCGGTGATGGGCCGGCGCCTTTGTCTATGCAACCTCGGGAGCTGCACCTTTCTGAGCACCTAGTGCCATGTCGCACTTTCGATCTCACCGTCATGCAGATAGCGTGTTCCTTTGACGATGTTGCCCCACTCCTCTGCACCGGCCATTGGACCCTGACCCACTGCCGACACTTAACCTCCCTGCAGAGGTACTTGCCTGGCTGCGGCAATGGGTGCCTGCCACAGACGGCCTCGCCCTCCCTGACCTCCACAAAGTTGAACTTTATACAGACGGGTCTTTTGCATGCTGCCTGGGCTTTCCATGTCTGTGCCTACGTTGGCCACCGACGTGTTCATCTAGGTTGGCAGGGAGACAGGCTTACTCACGACCCATCTCAGGTTGGTTTCCTAGCTGACTATGAGAATGGTGCCTTTCCGGCCGAGATTGCCGCCCTCTTCTGGGCTACCTGTTGGTGTCTTCAACTTCCTCCACACGTTGAGATCGACGTGTACTCGGACTGCACTTCCGCTATATCCATTTCCACCGGCGCCGGAGGTGACTATCACCGCGACACCTTTTCAGGTAAATGTCGAGCAGCGGCACACCTGTTGCACTCCATCGGAGACCGTACTTTCCGTACCCGCCACTCTCGATCCCATGTTGGGAATCCTGGCAATGAAGTGGCCGAACTCGCCTGCAAAGGGTCCGGCTCCTATAATCATGCAGCTTTGGAGCGCTTCACCAATCTTGCTGGCCACAGCTCCTTTTCTTGGCTTTGGCTTGCTGCTCAAGCTAGTTTTCGACCTGGCGCGGCCCAGGGTGCCGCCGCCCTCCCCTTCTGAATGCGCCGCCTTCTTCGGAGTCCCACATGTCCCGGACAGCGCCCCGGGCGGCAAGGACCCAAGAAGCACACGATCTGCCTGCTTCCTCACTGTCAATGTGCAGACACTCTATCCGCAGCGCCCCTCATAACGGCCATGATGGCTTTGTAGGGAGGGCCCGCTTCTTGCGTGATCAACTCAGTGCTGAGCACGTTTGATGTGTGGCTGCCCTTCAAGAATCACGCTTCGCTACCAGCGAAACTTACGTATCGGCCAGCCACATACGCTTCACCAGCGCCAAGGAGGCCGATGGCTCGTGCGGGGTCGAGCTTTGGTTCAGCCGGCAACATGCACTCTTTTCCGACTCCAATGGGAAACCTGTGCATTTCAAGCCGAACGATTTTCTCGCTGTCCACTGGACACCACGCATTTTGGCAGTTCGGTACACTTGTTTCTCCCTTCGGGTTCTGTTTGTCTGCATACATGCTCCTCACAATGCCGGTGCCGATCGCGACACCTGGTGGGCCTCCCTTTTTCAGGTTCGAAGAAGGGTTGCACAGGATGCCTCTCTGGTTCTGTCAGGTGAGTTTATAACCTGCACTTGCACTACAGCCATGCTGATGCCATCGGTGACTTGATCTGGGGTACTCCCAACCCGGACCCACCGTCCAGCTTCTCTCGCTTGCTTGACCACTTTGCACTGTGGATCCCCAGCACTTTCGAGTCGTGCCATCCAAGTGAAACTGCCACCTGGCACTCTCCCAATGGTGCTGGAACCGCCAGACTAGATTACATCGCCGTTCCCACTACATGGCAAGTATCACGAGGTGGTAGCATCATCAACCCCAGCTTAGACTGGGGTCAGAGTCGTGCTGACCATATTGCTGTCCAGATGTGGATCCGTGGTCTGTTATCTGTTGGACGACCCGCTGGCTTTTCTCGAGGCAGGCTCATCACGTCTGCTGCCATGCGAACACCTGCGGGATAGGCCACACTCAGCAGCATATGCAAAGATGTGCCAGCCTTGGAGCCTAGACGTGCACCGACATGCGCAGGAGCTTGACAAGTATTTTCGAGACAGGCTTGCAGCTGCCTTTCCTGTCCAACGAGCTCCTTGCCGGCATGAATACTTCAGTGCAGCCACCTGGCAGCTCCGTAGTAAGCGGGAATGGCTCCGAAAGCGGGTCAAAGGTGCCTCCAAGATCCTACATCATTGGCTCCTCAGAGCTGCCTTTCGGGCATGGTGGGCCCGGCATTGTTTAGTCGATGCCTCACTCGCATGTTGGGCCTCGGTCCTTTGGTCGCTCCGAGACCTCCCCATGTTCCTGGAGGAACTCAGACAATCCAGTCATGAACTGCGTCAAGCAATTCGACATGACCACCATGTCCACATCATCGCTGCTGCTGTTGCCTCTGCCGCGACCTCCACTCAATCGACCGCCCAGAGGTTGCGGACATTGACAGGAGGCCCCAAGCAAGCAAGCAACGGGACCGCAGGCCATTACCCGCTGTCGGACGACAGGATGGTACCTTGGCTTCCTCACATGATGAAGCCAAACAGTGTTGGTTCTTGACGGACTGCCCGGTGAGCTTCTGCACTACTGTGCGCCCCTGCTTGCTAAACCTATCTTCCAGCTGCAGCTCAAGTCTCTGCTTACTCCAGCAGAGCCCGTTCAGCATAAGGGCGGAGTGCTACACTGTGTCTACAAGCGCAAAGGTCCACGACAACTCTGCACATCCTATATAGAGGAATCTTGGTATCTTCGGTGATGAGCAAATCCCTCCACAAACTCCTAAGGAGGAAGTGCGCCCCCGCACTCAGTGCGGTTACCTCGCTTCTACAGGTTGGGGGCCTGCCGGACATTCCGGTCACACTTCCAGCCGACGCTACGCGACTCTATCAATCGGCTTGCTTGCGTCGAGGACTCTGCCATGGGGTGCTTTTTCTTGACCTGCAAGAAGCATTTTATCGTATTGTGCGTCAGCTGGTGACTGAAGGTCCCCTGACCGAGGACGCACTTGTCAAAGCCTGCCAGGCAGTCAATCTGCCTAGTGGTGTCTACCACGACATCCAACGCCACCCCCAACAGCCCGCGTTGGCTGAGTCCGCAGGGGTCAGCCAATGGACCACCAAAGCACTAGAGGAGTCGCTCCAGGACACTTGGTTCCGCTTCCCGGACGAGGAGGAGATTGTTTCAACTGCCATTGGATCCCGTCCAGGAGATTCCTTGTCGGATCTGGTGTTCAGCCTGTTGTTTGCGCAAGTTCTAAAGAACGTACGTGCATCCTTGGCTGCTAGTGGCTACATGCCTGAGATCCCTTGGCATGCATGTATGGTAGGCTGTCTGACGCCCATCCAGCAGGCCCCTACTGAGACCATAGCTCTCCTTGTCTCCTTGATGCCACTTGGATGGACGACCTGCCGCTGCTACTTCAAGCGCCCGATTCGGCAATTCTTGTCGCGCGCCTCCGCGCAGGCGCTTCTACCCGGCTAGACACGTGCTTGGAGCATGCTCTGCTTCCCAACCTCAGTCGGGGAAAGACTGAAGCACTTGTGCACCTCCGGGCAAGGAGCGCCCGTCAAGTCAGACACCAGCTTTTCGTCGAAGAAGGTGGGGAGCTTCCCCTGAGCTGCCGATTCTGGCCGACTGCCCGTCTACGGCTCACGGCCACCTACAAGCATTTAGGTGGCGTCCTGCATCATAAGGGCAGTCTGCTCCGTGAAGTCAAGACAAGAGCAGCCCAGGCCTGGACAGCCTTCAATTTGCGAAAGCGCAAAATTTTTGCTTCCCCGAGGGTGGGCCGTGATGAAAAAGCCTTGCTTTTCGACAGCCTCGTCGCCACCACCCTGTTTTACGGATCCGGCACTTGGCCGGAACCTTCTGCAGAATGCCCTCAGAAACTGACGGGAACCCTTCGCAACATGGCGTGCCAGATGTTGCGCCCTGCCCACAGTTGTGAGCAGGCTTGGCACCTGGGCACGGCCCAAGTTTTGTCCCTTGCAGGCTTGCCCAGCGCAGAAACCCACATCCATGTGCATCGCCTTCGATACCTCCTCTCTTGCATCATTCTCAATGTTCCTGAACTGTGGGCTTTGGCACACTGGGAAGGGGTGTTGCTAGGCCACGCCGCGGCATCCGTCCAATGGATGTGGGAAAACGTTGACCCTGCCCACTCCCACTCCGCAAAACTACGATCTGGAAAGTGGAAAGCCAGGATACGGCGTGCACAAGCGTGTGCTGTAGCTCAGGAACGTTGGCAGGCCTCTCTCTTACGCCACCAAGGCATATTCCGGCGCAAACTGAGGATGAAGCCGATTCAAAGGAGTGTTGTGCTATTTGTCACAAACTTTTCCGTGACTACCGGGCGTGGTCTGCAGGCATTTTCTACCCACGGACGCACCGATGAAATGCGGCGCCTCGCCCCGGGCTCCCAATGCCCCATTTGCCTCAAACACTTTACCTCTGCGGTCAAGTTGAGTAGGCACCTTGGTTATAGCATCGTTTGTCGGCGTAAGCTTTTGTCGTTCGGAGCCCGCACTGCTCCCGAACCGGGTGTTGGTAGCCGAAAGGCTCCTGATGACGGAGCCGCCGCCCCCTTGCCTGTTCTGCAGGCCTCCGGCCCGTGCCCAGGCCCGATCCATTTCATTGTGGAGGAAGAGGCAGAACGCCCTTGACCATGACGGGCTCGTCCCTCACCTTGCCGAAGATGAGCTATGGAACAGGGTCCGTACTGCCTTCTTTTGTGTTTGCCTCCAGGCTGCTCGTCTTCGTATTACCGCGCATTGCTGGCGTGATCTGCTGGGACTCCCCTCTCAGACCGCCCCTGCACAAGTCCTTCAACGCCTCTTCCCTGTGGCACAGCTGACCGCGTCACCTGGCTTGTTCCGGAGCCTTCTGCACATGGGCTTGCCGTTGCAACGGACACCTATAAACTTAGCGGTTTGTACTTAGACTTGATGAGCTTTGCTTCCGTCAGGTGGCCCCAATCACCCGGACCTGGCCCTGATACGATCTGGGTTCAGGTTGGCCCTCTCCCTGTCGCCTTCGCGCTCACCCAGCCGGAGGATAGATGTCTCCGCTAGCAACACGCGGACGCTCTGAGGGAATGTCGCGAGGGTCGCACCGTGGACTTTCTGGAGCATGCTGACCCGGATTATTGCTACTGCTTGTCCGTCATTGGGCTTCTGGTCTAGTCGCAGTCTAGCCCGCCCGATACTGCCAAACTCTGTGCTGAACAGCACCCTGGGTTTGAGCTTGCGTGCGACATTATGCGGACAGCTGTTGGCCACTGGATCCAGGGCATTCCTGCTCGGCTGTTCTTGCCAAACCCTGTGCCTTCTTGCGCTCTCCCTTTTTTACGCCTTCCTGGACTTTCGGTGCTGCGCTGTCGAGTTGGGAAATTGGTAGGACCACTTTTCACCGTTTCACACAATTAAATGCAAGCCAAAGGGCCGCGTCGCGACGACTCTTCGCCCGAAACAGCAGAAACAGCAGAAAGTATGTTTACGTAATTTTACGTATGTACTCATGTATTCATGTGTGCCTCCCCCGCGCCCTGCTCACAACCCCTCCCCTTGCCCACGAAATCTCTCACCCTAGTGAAAGTACTCAGGGTAGTTTGTGGCCCTGAGACATAAGGGCTTGCCTAGCACATGCAGCAGCAGAATGCTTTTATGTCTCGCTGCGAGAGGGTAGCTGAGTCTAGCTTTGAAAATCGATTGCGCCAATATGACGCGGCGCATACATGAATGAATGCATTGGCCATGTCAGTCATTGCTGTAAGCACTCTTCATAGACCGGGAGTTCCCAATGAATCTCTCTTTCTCTGCCACATTCTGATTCTTTGTGGGTTTGTTGCATTGTGAAATGTTGGGAAAGGTTTCCAAAAATCAACGTTTCGCAACATCCATGCAGATAATTGGAGTAAACACTCGTGCCAATTCTGCAGCCGGCAAATCTGGCAAACTGCAGTCGAGCTTCATTTTTTGCATGCGGAAATATTGAAAGCGTAGTATGTGTCACGTTTCTTGTTCTAAGGTAGAGGAACCCTAACGTCCTGTCCAGGAACAAAGCATCTTCTGATGTTTCTCTGACATGGGGTTGAGACGAGTTAATGTGCATCGAGTGCTCCATCGCGACATATGTTGTGGCCTATGTTGTGTATCAGTGGCAGGAACGGTTGGTGTCTCGGTCGACGGGCTTGACAGAGGGAGATGAGTCTCCTCGCAAGGACTTTCTAAGTTAATTTTCATGTGCAATAAGGTTAGGGATGGCAGGCTTGATTGGCATTGAGCGTTGGCTGCCACTTCCCTGTTGCAGGAGGGGGTGGAGATCATGAATCTTAAGGCAAGGCAGATCGCCCACGAGGCAGCGTATGTTTGGCTGCGCGCTATGACATCCAACTTATGAAATCTGATGCCTAGGCTCGGGGCGTAGAGAGTCCCATGTCCAAGGGCTCCTCGCAACCTGGCCGCAAGCTTTCTGATAGAGTGGTGGCTCGTGCGGACACCGAAAGGGAGACCGTCAACGTCGCATTTGTTGCGCAAAGGAGCTTCCTTGCATCGCCACGGTGTCTCGGGAGCAAGCCAAGCAGCTACACGTACGGGACGATGAGTGACAATGAGTGACATACCCTACCTGCATCCGGAATGACCCGTTTTCATCCAAGGTTTGCCCTAACAGGCACATCAATCACCAGTTCACCGTGGGTGCCGCCTGTGGCGGCAGCTTCGGCACAGAGCCTTGCCAAAAGCAAAGGCTTAGTCGCTTTGGGCGCTTTGGGATGCGGAGTGCGGATGTCCGGCGACATCATGTCAACACAACATCGGGATACAGCATCCTGCGTGTGGCGGAATTGGACTTCCTGCATAACTTGGAGTCAGTGGCTGTTCAGTTTTGTCTAGTTCATGTGGTGGTGCCTGCATGCCATCAACCTGGCTTTAACAACCCCGCACCACATGGTAAGTTAGAGTCTACATCTAGTAACTAGGGCAAGGAAGCACAGACACTCTAACTGCTCGTGCCTATTCGTTGACGCTTCCCGCACAAACTCATTCCTGTCTAGCTAGCTCAGTTCTGCGCCCACTAGCTTGGACCATCTTGGAATATCTTGGACCTATGTGCCACGCTGTCTGCCTGTTCTAGGTCTGGAGATGCTTCGCCATCGAAGGTCGAGTCGCCACGAAAGGCGCGTGAGGCGACCGATCTCAAGGTAAAGCCTCTAGTGAAAGTTAGGTAGCCGTCCGTCTTTGAGCACCTGCTTCGGGGGTTTTGGCAACGATGACAGAATCAAGGTATTGAGTGACGTGTGGATGCTTTCCAGTACTCACGCCAGCGATAAATATCAAGAGAAGGTAGAAAGACCTGGTATTGCAACTCCAGAAGAACAGAGCCCTTGAAGCTGCCAACCCGGCAAGCTGCAATGAGCTTTACAGCTGCTCTTGCGATAGGTGATCCTTGGGCAGGAAGCTGTGCCTTGTCAGTGATACGCAGCAGAAGGGGCGTGCCATGTTTCTGGAAGCTAACAGTGCGTAATCTAGTGCTCACCCCATGGCTCAGTGTATCGCGGTTGAAGGTTCCTCAGGAGCCCATCGACTGTGATTACGGGATCATTCCCTTGGCAGTATTCCTAATGCATGTGTAATTGGCAAGACGTATTCTGTACGCTCTTGTGACTGGTGCTTCTCCGTTTTTCTGGCTGAGGAAGTGCGACGCCGACTCCAGTGGAGAGAAGAGCTTGATAGGCTTGCACTGGGCTTGTAGCTCTTTCCTCTTTGCCATCGATCTACTCCCTGTGGTCCACAGGAACCTGCGCCGACTCATGACAGACGTAGAGCTGGGTCGAGACCCGGTGATGAAGCACCATGGGCACAAGAGCCCTGGATAGCAGTCTGCTCTACTGTTACCGTTCAGTGTCCCCAAGACACGAGACCTGGTGCCATGCGTCGGCCTAGGATGGTGTGTGACCAGCAGCTCGGGCACAAATTCATCACATTGTTCATTTTTTTGCTCTGCAGGGGATGCCTTCGTTGTTGGCAGCTCCGTTCCCAGCACGGAGGGGCTTGGAGGGGCAGCCTTCGGAAAATATTGTATGCGTAGATTGTGGCAGATGCAAATGACGAGTGTTGGGGCTTTCATCTTTTGAAGGCCCCTGAACAGCACAAGGTTCGATCGACTCTATGGTTGGTTCAAAGATGCAGGAGACAAGGAAGTGGCCAAGGAGATGCCACCTAGTCGGGCCTAGTCTGCCCTACTCGTTTAGGTCATCTTCGCAAGCTTCAAAAGCTTTCTTTTGGCAGCAGGAGCAGGAGGGACCTGCATTCGTCCGCTACGATCCAGCCAAGCCCGTCATGGCCGGGTCAACGAGAGGAATACCAAAGGCATCCGAGCCTTTGTGACCTGCTTGCAAGCTCCTTGAAGATGCCGTTTGCATCGCACATAGACTGTGGTGCAATCAAGCGTGCATTCTTCCGGTGTAGCAACCCCCAGAGTTGGCGGTCTTTCACGCTACGGAGTGGCCTGCGCATGTTCGGACAAGGTTTGTTAGAGATCGACGTTCAGGCTGAAAACTTCGCTCCTCGGAAGGTGAAGTTGCCATTAGAGCGCTGCGTAATAAATCCTCTGCAACAGACATTGCAAGCAAAATTGACATGCCAAACACTTCATGTAGGCGCTGCCGTTGTTGATGGGCCAGTTCTGCCAACAAGGAGATTCAATCAGGATTGACTTCGAGCCTGTATCGAAATCGAAATGGGCATCAGCTGCGTACTTCTGCAATCTTCTGCCTCAGCTGAGGGGCCTGGAAGCTTGCGGTTTGTGGTGGTGACACATGCTTGACAGTCCAGTGAAAACTGGCCTGGCAAAGCCAGATCAGTTTCTCGGTCACATTTCCCGAAGGCACAAGAGTCTCGGATTGAGTTTGCCAAGTTAATCGGCTTTGTCTGCTTTCTTGGCAGTGAAGCATGCATTGCAGAAGGTCGCGGTGCCGCAGGTGATGCCAAAACAGGTTCTTTCAAGCCTCAGAATGACTATGAGATTCACTCATAGTCGCGCTCTGCTTCGCAATCTTTGTGTGCTGTCATGTCACTGCAGTCTCGCGGCATCAGTCAAGATGGGAAGTGTCATGAGTTCTTATGTTGTGACAGTCTGTGCAACCGGGACAACTTATGAGACTGAGCTGCCGCGACGCGTTTGATCTTTATGTTTTCGGTGATGCACCCTCAAAGGAGGAGAGCGGTAGACTGGAAAACATCCTGTAACGTTTTCGATGTCCTGCTTCGCGCAGTTGACACGTGATTCGCCACAGACTTGAAATCAACGAAGCAAAACGGGAGGCATGGATATGTCAGTGTTCGTTGTTGTTGTTGGCGAAGCTGATCCCTTAGTCTCTTCAGTCCGACCTTGAGACCTGCTCAGGCATGTCCGAGTTGTGAGAGTGTAGTGGTGTTGGCATGGCGAACCTTTTCTGCAGCTTCCGAAGGTCGTTGATATCTTCGCGCCGGAGCAGGGCCAGGACATCTGCGAAGCTCAATGTGAAGGGGGCATTGCAAGCGGCGCAAAGCATTGCACGACCGGCCTTTTGTGTACACTTCTCTGGTTTTGGCTCAGAAGCGCATGGATGCATGGCCGCATGGCCCAGAATGCTGAGACTGAAGAAAGGAGAAGGCACGAAGGCCAGTCATTTCCAGGAAATGCAGAATGACAACTTTCTGATTCAGGCGGCGTGTTTTTTCCACAGAGATTACCAGTGCTTTCAAAGCCATGTGCAATTTGCATTGATTCGTTCAGGCCGCAAGTCTCTGAATAGCCACCGCGAGCTGCCAGGAGGCACAACACTCCGGGGCATTTCGGGCTGCACACGTCGGTTGCACTGCCTGTCCGCCTTTGAAGGATTTCATGCTGGACGAAAGCGAACAGCTTAGAGCATTGGAGTTTGCGTCGTGTGTGTGTGTGTTTGGGGACCTCTACTTCGCTTCTGTGGCTCTTTTTCCTTGTGCCAGGCGGGCTGGGCGGGTTTGCTGGTATAAGCTCTCGACTTCCCGGAACTTCTTGGGCAGGCTAGCGGCTAGAGCTTTTTGACCGATTTGTGTGGAAGTATTCGGCACAGATACGAGGAACAGCGCCGTTGTTGCACAGTCCCTCTTTCTTTCCTCCCGCTGCATGCAGCCAGAACTGTTGAACCAACCCCCCACGCGCCGCCCCGTCCCGCTAGCAAACCGCCATAAAAGGCACAACAGTCGAGCCTGTACGCGATGGCTAACTCTTCAGGATCTTGCTGACGTCTTCGTTGTTCATCTCTGAAGCCTTATTGACATCCAACTTTCGATCTGCCCTTATGGGCTGATACACCATCAGGTTTGAGAGTTGCATGAGCCCTCCCACTACCATCACAGGAACGGTCCTTCCCTTGGTCCTGCAGATTCATGGGATTGAGGGTTGGCTGATTCCATCCGCGATCTACCGCCAGCAATCTACAGACAGCGGAAGAGTGGCAGCAATGACCCACTGCCACGGCAATAAAAAATATTTGGGGACTTTACTCTGCACTGGCACTCTCTTCGTCACGGAAATCCTATCCTTTGTGGAAGTAGCTTCTGTGCGGAACGACGAATGCTATAGTGCCTGTAACAAAGTATTCTCGTTGCTGATAGTTCACAACTGTGAGACTCATGGCCTGCATGTTTAATCAGCAGCTCTAAGTCACATCGCCGTGGCGCTGCCGATTGGAAACTGGGCCATGTTGGCTGGCTGCAACACATAAGTATTGATGGCACGGCAGAGAGAGAGAGAGAGAGAACACATAAGTATGCACTTGAGATGGCTTCCACTACGGTAATGCCTCTTCCCCTGCTGGAAGAGACTTCATGCCTTATGACACCCGTTGCTTCATGGCAGTTTCGGCGGGCCGGCAGTTCATGCTGGTTGCTACTGCATTGAATGCGGAATAATGCCGGCCAGCGCTCAAGCTTGAGGCTTCAAGACATCCCGGGCCGTCCCAGGGTTAGATGACAGGCTGGGCAGCCGGCAGACACGTTAAGACAACATTCGCCGCCGACTAATTATCCTGGATCATGTTTTGGGAGCCAGTGAAGTGGATAGGTATACTGAGTTGACCTGAACTGGACCTGCTTTGTCGTCGTCGTCTGCCCGCCGCATCCTGCGCCAGGGTGGTGGCTCATTTGGGATCATTGCTAGCAAGATCTATGCATGGCAAAGTTGCGCGCGATTTCTCAGCCCAGTGCTAGTTGGTAGCGGCTCGCTGTTGTCGTGCTATCAGACTACACAGCTGGAGCGTGACGCTCGGCTGAGGTATTTTGAGCAGAAAGCCAGTTTGCCGCCGCTCAGGAGGCACCCTCTTCTGCCCTGTTCTTTCAACTCGTGTCGGGAGCGACAGCAAGCTTGGTTTAGGTAGGAGTTTATCTAATCAGCTCGCCTAACTCAGAAAGTCGGATTGGGCCCGGCCGGAACGGGTAAGTCCGGGAGTCGCCACACACCGTGATGTACAGGCCAGAGGCATCGAGCACATGGTCTTCGCCTTTTTCTTCTTCTGGCCGCACTCCCGTCATCTTTGACTGCGTGACTTTGACTGGTATAGCGGGCTGTTCTCGAGACGAGGCACTGCCTTTGTTCGTTGCTGGTTTTGCTTGCGTCGACCGCAGCATCTACATATCTCCAGTTAGCTCGCCTTCCAGTCGCTCCCGGGATTCGCAGCATGCAGATCTTTGCCTCTCAGTTGCATTGTTCCCTTCCCTAAGCAGAGGGGCTCGACACGGTATCCTCCTTAGTCAGCATGAATTTGCAGCAGATTCATTCTCGTTGGAAGGTGTGGGGTTTTGGGCACTAATGCGGGGTTTGGAAGTTGACAAGAAATCGCAGCGGAGCGTTGGCAAACCTCAAGCACCCCTAAGCGTTCGCGAGTGTCATAAGGGTTGCGGAGCACGAGTGACAAAAAGGGTTGCAGAATGCAGCAGCGTGTCCGGACGTATCGCCTCGAGTGTCACGGCGCGGTCGTGGACTTCAGCTAATGTGGGGGAAATTATGGGCTCCTCGTCAAGGTCCTGGAATCGGGTAAACTTTTGGTTGTGGTTCCCATCGGCTTTTGTATTCGTTTGGACCGGCCCACGGAAGGCGCAACACAAGTGAATCGGTGCATAGGCAGAGAGCGGGAAAGAGAGAGAGAGAGAGAGAGTCAGTCGGGGCGTAGCAGGCCGAACATGACGCATGTGTATGGAACCAGTTCTAGACAGTAACTGGGGGCGAGCCAGTTCCCAACAGAGCATGTGTCTTGCAAGGCCACACGTAGTCTTGCCTTCGGGGAGGAACCAAAGAGGTAACAGGTACAGTGAACAATCCACTGCAATGTCGGTATCCTACTGCCAGGGTCCTTCGTAATGTGTTCAGACAGGCACTGCTTCTTTGCCGTGTTGCTTTCAAGGACCACGGGACCAGGCGGCGAGTAGAACCCTACGTAACAAGAGCGAGGCGAGAAACCTCAATGTGACTAGGTTCCAGGAGAAGTGTCATGACCTAGTCCTGTGGATTTCAATGAGTCCCTGCTCATAGTAGTACGGAAGAGCCTCCACGATCCTGGACAGGTGCCGAGCCCGAAGGTTGTACCCACAGCATGTGCCTAGCTGTGCTTGTCGTCAGAGGGCGTTAGCTGAGTTTTCAGGTGTTCACTTGTAACGGTGTATGTACAGCTCACTGTGGAGTGCCCGATCTTGTGTTGCACGTGAAACCGTGCGCCCCGCCAACCTACGGGCTGCTCCCGCGGGGGCATGCCCTCAAGCCTGGGGAAAGAAAGTGAGTCGGGGCTCTCGGCTGTGAGACGTGGAACATCCCTGGCCGTTGCCTGTACATTGGGACCCCAATGCTGGAGTGAGGGTCGGGCCAAACGGCCCCTAAGCCGGGCAGAAAGAAAGAAACGAGAGAGAGAGAGTGAGTGAGTGAGTGAGTGAGTGAGTGAGTGAGTGTGTGTGTGTGTGTGTGTGTGTAGTGGCAGTGTAGCGGGCGCGGCGATGAGCCCGTGACGCAGGCGGTGTCCAGGGACAGGGGGGTTCGAGACCGAATGTATGCCAGATGTTGCAAAATCCATGGCGGAAAACCTCCCACCACAGACCCCATGGCCTCCGTCCGCCAACAGGGTAGGGAAGGGGGGGGGCTGGGCCCGGGTCTGTTCGCAGACCTAACCCCGGCAGAGGGAAGGAAGAGCGTGTGTGTGTGTGTGTGTGTGCAGGGTGCCTGTGTGCCTGTGTGCCTGTGTGCAGGGTGCCTGTGTGCCTGTGTGCCTGTGTGCCTGTGTGCCTGTGTGCCTGTGTGCCTGTGTGCCTGTGTGCCTGTGTGCCTGTGTGCCTGTGTGCCTGTGTGTCTGTGTGTCTGTGTGTCTGTGTGTCTGTGTGTCTGTGTGTCTGTCTGTCTGTCTGTCTGTCTGCCTGCCTGCCTGCCTGCCTGCCTGTGTCTCTGTCTCTGTCTCTGTCTCTGTCTCTGTCTCTGTCTCTGTCTCTGTGTCTGTCTGTCTGTCTGTCTGTCTGTCTGTGTGTCTGTGTGTCTGTGTGTCTGTGTGTCT